GCCGGTCTGTATGTGGGATCCGAACCCTCGGCGGGAGCGCCTCCACGCTCCCAAGTGGTGCACTGTAGCAGTGCGCCACCGGGCCGGCCCGCAACTTAAATTTTTAAAGAGATGGACTGAATTGCCCAGGAGAAATTTCTGCTTTATATACTCATGAATCTCACCTTGGCTGAAAAGTTCAATACATTCTAAAACTATTCCATCACTGTCCAATGAGATCTGATTTTTCTTTTTTTTTTGACCGGTAGGGGGATCGCAACGCTCGGCTCGGTGTGGTCTGCACCACGCTCAGCCAGTGAGTACACCAGCCATCCCTATATAGGATCAGAACCCACGGCCTCAGCGCCACCTGCTCTGGACTCTCCCAAGTGAGCCATGGGGCCGGCCCTGATTTTTCTTTTTTAATTTAAAGCTTTAAAAAATTAAGATGGTGAGGCACTGGCAAATGAAGGGACAGAAAATTTACTATATCATACAAAAGGACTTCAAAAAGTTCAAAGAAAAATGGAATTAAATGATAAAAATAAAAAATATAAACTCTATTTCTCAACATAAGCTCCATCAAGTTCAAGACACTTTTGTAAGCCATGATTCCAGCCATTTACTCCATCCCTAATGAACTGACAGTCCTGGGAGTTTAACTATGTCAATGCAGTCTTTTTTACATTATTAACCAAAAAAAAAAAAAAAAAAATGGGTGCCCTATATACAAGGTTAGGAAACCAAAAGAAGTCAGAAGGAGCCAAATCAGGACTGTAAGGTGGATGCTTAATGATTTCCCATCAAAACTCTCGCAAAACTGCTCTCGTCTGATGACCAGGAATGAGCATTGCCATGGTGGAGGAAGACTCTCTAGTGAAGTTTTCTTGGTGAAGATTTTTCTGCTAAAGCTTTGTTTAACTTTCTCAAAACACTCTCATAATAAGCAGATGTTTTTGTTCTTTGGCTCTCCAGAAAGTCAACAAGCAAAATACCTTGAGCATCCCCCCAAAACTGTTGCCAGGACCTTTGCTCTTGATCTTTTGTTTTTGTTTTGACTAGAGCACTTCCACCTCTTGGTAGCCACTGCTTTGACTGAGATTTGTCTTCAGCATCATACTGGTAAAGCCATGTTTCATCTCCTGTTACAATTCTTTGAAGAAACACATCAGAATCTTGACCCCATTTGTTCATAATTTCCATTGAAAGCTCTATTCTTGTCTGCAGCTGATCTGGGTACAAGTTTTGGTACCCACCAAGCAGAAAGTTTGCTCAACTCAAAATTTTCAGTCAGAATTATATAAGCTGAACCAACTGAGATGTCTATGGTTTTGGCTATTATTTCTGCTGTTAATAGCAGATCTTCTTCAATTAGGGCACAAACAAGATTAATTATTTCCTTGGAAATTGATGTGGAGGGTCTCCTGCTGCAGGCTTCATCTTCAACACACTACCATCCCTTCTTAAAACGAGTTATCCATTTGTAAACTGCTGATTTCTCTGGGGCATCGTCACCACAAACTTTTCATAAAGCATTAACGATTTCACCATTCTTCCAGCCAAGCTACACCCAAAATTTTGTGTTTATTCTTGCTTAAATTTTAGCAGAATTCATGTTGCTCTGAAAGGGGCTCTTTTCAAACTGATGTCTTATCCTTCTTAGTGCCTCACACTAGATCCTGTTCAGACATGTTGTAGCAAGTTAGTATGATTTTGGTCCAAAAAATTTTTGCAATCCATGCATAGTTTTTTCATAATACATATTTTCCATGAACTTTTTGAAGACCTCTAATATATTATAAAGATGGCATTCTAAGTAAGTAAAGAAAAAAATAGGATTGGGAAAACTGGCTATGCATTTTGGAAAAATAAAAGTTAAGACGATTTAGTAAACATTTGTTAATTTTATCTGTTCCACATCCCTTCTTGCCTTTAAGAAGATGCTTTCCCCCCACATTAATCATATAATTCTGCCAAGGCTGCAAACCAATTATCTTGCCAATTTGGGGTGAGCAACAGAGCACACCACTAGCTGGCCACAGTGACCGTCCCAGGACTGGCTACGTGGCCCAATCCGCTCAGCATCCTACTCCAATTTTTTCAATCTGGAGATGGAAAAAGGGTCTTTGATTTTTGTATTGGTGAACAGGAAGGGTGTAAATTAGGGGTTGTCTACTTTTACTCCCACAACATGGAGAAACTATCAATAACAGGAAACAATAAAGGCCATCACAGAGAAGAAGAGAAAATATGAGAGGAGAGAATTGAGAGAAAGACAGTGGTAATCCCATCTGGCTTCCTGGATCCAATAATGCACCTGAGGCTGTTGCCAACTCTGGACTTCCTAATTTTATGAGCCAATAATATTCACTTTTTTTCCTAAGCAAGTTTGATGAATTTCTGTCAAAACCAGTTAAGTTCTAAAAAGTCTAGTAGAGTATTTTAAGAATTTTGACTCCAAAATATGGCACTGATTAAATCAAGACAGAGTGGGGATACTGAGTGTCTTGCCATCCCAGGCTGGGCAGCTAGTCACCTTTGATGTGTGGTAGCAAAGCAGTTGGTTAGAATATCAATTTTCTCCTAGGTCTCAGATCATGAGTCTACCCATGACGGAGTTCTATGCCAAGAGGTTGCCCTGTGGTGGCTACTTCTTGGGACCATCTATAAAGTCCTATAATAAAGACTTTATAGACACGACTTGGTCTATGTTGGATTTCTTGAAAGCAGAAAGGGAATGGAACAGCACTTTTTAAAAGAAACCCCTCAATTTAGAGCCAACAATCCAATATTAGTTAGAGTCAATCCCTTGCCTTTAACTAAGTTTCTGGCAAATAAGGGAAAGGAGAAAATTCATTCCCAGGGGTAAGACCTGAAGGAGCAGAGAAAGGCAGTATGGCTGAGAATAGAGGTCCTTACTGAACACCCTCTGCCCAAAGGCCATATTCCTCCTATTAAAAAGGAGTGAATCACTGCAATGCAGCCTGGTGGAAGAATACAGATCTACCCCAGCCTCTGCAGCTAACTGTTAATGATGCCAGGAGGCAGAAACCTAGATAGACTCCATCACCTGAGGGTTAGGGCTATTGGCCTACTAAGCAGACAAACTGGGATTAAGAGGATTAACCTTCAGGAACCCTAACAAATTACTGAGCATTAGGAACTAGCTGTATGCCCAGAAATCTGTAAGGGATTGCTATTGCCAGAAAAAAACTCCAAACCTGCCAAATTAGGAAGTATGACTGTTCAATCCTGCATCAGTCCCCAGCAACCCATCCCCAATTGCAGCCAGCAGGAACTAGGATGCTAAAACAGAATGGCCTCCAGAAGGGGATCTTTTCATAAGCTTCTCACCTCTCATCCATAGCCATCTTCCCAGAAAACCAATGGCATCCAGATTTATCAAAGAACCCCCTCCACTATCGGGATAACGAGTGTTATAGGCAGTTAAATTCATAATTTGGCTCATGGATTGTGAGATCAAGATAAGCCACACTCAGACCTGTCAAAATCAATGCATAACACACAGAAATCCTAGATTTGGGTCTAGATAAAATTACAATTACCAGATGTAATTGTGGGAAAGAGGTTTTTGGAAAAGTTTTCAGTTGCAGGTGAGATCTTTGCATTATTTTCGGCAGAGGCATTTTTTAATTGTATGTATGAAAACAAATGTGAGTATACATGAATGTGCTGAGCTACCAAAGGGTGGAATTATGGATATTTACTGTATTCTATCTTTGCAGCATCCCTTTTTCTTTGGAAAACCACTCCTACCCCACTCCAATCATATACTTTTGCTGGAGGCATCAATCATAATACCGTGCCTGCCCTGGCCACAGGGGTGGGAACAATATGATGCAAGACAGTCCACTTAAATTCCTTCCTCAAGAACTTTTGATTTGCAGCAGGAGTAGGGCCCTTGCCTTTGGGCCACAGACCTTGGAAAGATATGAATACAAATTGCTGGTGCCATCTTCCCTGCCACTTGGAAAAAACCTGTCTATGTTAGAATGATGTTAACACACAAACATATGTAAATTCAAAAGGTGAGAGAAAGAGAGCAAGACAGAAAGAGTTTTAATATTTGGGGGTCCAGTTATGCCTGATGGTGGCTTGGACTTCCCAATTATATGAGCTAATTAAATTCTCTCTTCATTTAGCTAGTTTAAGCTAGTTTGGTCACTTGAAATTTTAAAAATACTAATTAAAACAGATCTCCACCTCATACCATATACAAAATTACATTCTAGATTGATTAAAAACAAAGTTATAGAAGTGTTAGGAGAAATTACTGTAAAATATATGTATATAAGACACAAAATCCATAGAAACCCTAAAGAAAAAGACTGATAAATTTAACTGTATATAAAATATAAACATTTCTGTATGACAACAGAGTTAAAAACAAGCAATTACTATATAAATATATGTATAAAATAAAGGATTCACAGTAAATTCAACAAAAAAAAGAAACTCAACCACATCAGTAAGCAGGGACATGCAACTTTTTAAATAAAAAAATTTTCACCACTGGCAATAATGTAAGAGGACTGATATTGAATTTAGGTGAAAGAACGGGGAAATAGATATGTACATAAACTATTGGTATAAATCCCTTTGGATGTACAATTAAGCAGTAGCCATCATTATTTTTAAAATGTACCTACCATTTGACCAGCAATTCCAATTACTGTTTCTGTAATGCCAGAAATACACGACAAGTACACAAAGATATATGTTGAGGATGTTAAAAAGCACCACTATTATAATAAAAAAAAACTGTTAACAGCCTAAATGTCCATTAATAGAGAAATAGCAAATGAATTATGTTTTATCCATATTGTGGAGTACCATGCAGCAGTTAAAAAAGTATAAATTCAATTTATAACATGAAAAGATTTCCTTTATGTGTTAGTGAAAAAAGCAAGATGTAGACCAAAACATGCAGAATGATCCCAATTATGTAAAAAAAAAAAAAAAAAAGAAAGAAAGAAAAACAACAAAAAACCCCCAAACCCCCCAAAACTTTGTAAACATACAGGGAGAAAGATCTTAAATGTTGCACACCAAACTGTTGATGGTGGTTACCTTTGGGGCAGGGGTATGAAAAGGGTCTTCTGTTTTTTTTCCTGTGTGCTTTTGTTAAACAATGAGTGCAAGTGCTACTTCTGCTTCAAAAAAAAAAAAAAAAAAAAAAAAAAAAAAAAAAAAAAAAAAAAAAAAAAAAAAAAAA